TTCACACACACATGCACACACACACACACACACACACACACACACACACACACACACACACCTACCTGCTGCACGAGTGAGCGGAGAGAGGTAAACTCGGGCTGCTCCGGCAGGTTGAGGACCACGTCCTCGGCCAGCACCTCCAAGGTGCCGTCCACCACGGCCATTTCGGGCACAACTACACCAAGCACCGAGTATTCACATCACGTGCATACGTTGTACGCGCGGCAATGGCAAAGCGAAAGCACAAGTGAGTGTGATGATGAGAGGGACGAGCCAGCCACACCCAAGCACCAGCGGCTGAAACACCACCCATACCCAAGTACCAGCGATACTGCGGCTACATGCAGTGCCAAACTCACAGCAGCCGTTGCCTTCGTGGTCTGCGGTGCCAGCAAAGCCCGGTTTGCAGCGGCAGATGAAGTCCAGGCCATTTGCAGTCTCCTCACACAGCTGCTCCCCGCATGGAGATCCAGCGCACATGTCCACATCTGTGTGTGCGTGTGTGGATGGATGGGAGGGTGAGGAAGGGATTTAAACGTAAGATGTGAGGGGGGCGGGATGGAGAGTGAATTAAAGGGGCAATATGCGTCGAAGAAAGCGCCCACCTTGACAGGACTGTCCTGACACAACCGGCTCGAGCGTGCCGTCAGCTGTGCACTGTACGTCGTACGAGTCTGCATCACCTGCGATAAGAATGAAGCGATGCGGATGAGTGGCGGGTGAGTGGGTGAGTGGGTGAGTGGGTAAGCAAGCATCAAAACCCACGCACACAACACAGACACACAGACACAGACACACACAGACACACACAGACACACACAGACACACACAGACACACCGGAAGCACGGGTGCCAGGGTTGCAGGAGAAGGTCACGGTGTCGCCAAAGAAGAGCTCAGAAGTGGACTCCGGGTTGGCGTTGGACGTGGGTTGCGGTGTGCCGCAGGAAACAGGGAAGCAGGTCGTGGATTGGTTCGACGCCGCGTACCCATCAAAGCAGCTACCGCAATCACCAGACCCAGCACCGGCGCCACTGCACGCGTTTCGGTTGAGCTCCACACAAGATGAAGCGGCGCCAAGCGCCACACACGCCGCACTGTCTCCGGCCGCGCTCACCACAGCCACCTGCGCTGGTGCAACCACCACCAGCACACACAACAACAACAACCAGCGAACAACAAGCCGCATCTTGCTTGCTTCTTGCTTGCTGCCCCCAACACACACAAAACTGAATTCAGTGTGGAAGCAAAGCCGCACAACCCAAGTGTGTGTGTGTGTGTGTGTGTGTGTGTGTGTGTGTGTGTGTGTGTGTGTGTGTGTGTGTGTGTGTGTGTGTGTGTGTGTGTGTGTGTGTGTGTGTGTGTGTGTGTGTTTATCATGAAACGAAACGGCGCTAGGTCACGGAGGGAAGACCGACAGTCATCGTGCGCACAAGAACAAACGCATCTGCTGATGACACAACAACAGCAACAACAACAACAACAGCAACAACAACAACAAACAACAACAACAACAACAACAAACAACAACAACAACAACAACTTAAACAACAACAACAACAACAACTTAAACAACAACAACAACAACTTAAACAACAACAACAACAGAGCAGTGGAACACAAGCGAGCGTCAAGGAAGCCACAACTGGCGTGCGTGTAACAGAACAGTGGGTGATGAACGAAATGTAATAACTGCACCACCGTGACAGGACTGGAGGAGAAAACAGAAGCCGGAGGAGAAAGGAGCTGCCACGGGGCAGGTGACCAAGAGCTAATACGCTGAGGCTGCGTCCACATCGCACTTCTTGGCCTCTCGCACCAGCTTCATGGCGGGACCCATTGACACACCGGAGGACCGAAGCGTCTGCTTTGTCAAGTCGCCCTCATGTACGAGAGCCACCAGCACCTCCAGGCTGTCAATGCCGTGCTCCACCAACGCGGCTTCGACGTGCGACAGCAGCGAGTGGCGGTTGAGCCATTGAATGAGCTCTGGCTCGAATGGTGATGAGGATGAGGGCGATGGGGTGGTGGACGGTGGGGTGAAAGTAGTCATGACGGTGGAGGACGAGGAAGATGACTGCAGGGCAGGTAAACAAGAGGATGGGTAACACATTGTGAGCACGAGTGGAAGGAGCGGTCATGTGCACACACACACACGCACAGCAGATGCACACACACACACACACGCACAAGCACACACAAGCATACACAAAATACCATACCTGCGTGGAACGACGTGCTGTGTCTGCTTCTTGCGTTGTTTGCTCCTCACTCCTGGCAGAGGAGACAACCTGGCGCACCTTCTCCGCGATGTCGCGCAGCTGCGACGTGCGGTCCACAGCGGCGTCCAATGCAACCACGGCGTCAATGTCAAAGAGCGACAGTACCACTTGACGCACGCTCTTGTGCCGCTGTGGCGGTGGCAAGTGTAGCACCTGCGTGAAATACTGGTCCAGGGCTGATGTCGTCTCCTTGCTCACAGCATCTGGCAGCGTCATCGCCAGCCGCTTCAGGCGGTCAAACGAGTCGTATTCGCTCACTTCGGCCCTGCTCATACTGCTGTCGTTCACATTGTGCCACGCGCTGCCAACAATCACGGGCACGACACGTCGAAGGCGAATCCTGGCATGTTGCTGCTCCTCGTCTGCCGAATGCGCCCCCTGGTGCTCGTGCAGTGCCAGCATCGTCATCCACTCCAGCAGCACGTTGTCGCAGTAGTCGCTGTGCTGCAGCTGCCTCATCTGCATGATGGTGGCAGCAGAAACAATGGGGCAGGCCACCAGGCTCAGCCCAATCGCCGTCATGAACGACAGCTTGAAGTTGAGGCCCGTCTCCAGGTTGTTGGCGTCCAGGAACGCAACCAGGTTGCGCTGCTCCAAGCGCGGATGCAGCGCCATCACCAGCCCACTGCTGGCGCGTTGCCTGTGATGTGTAGGGGAGGGAGAAGGGTGTGTGTGAGGTGAAGTGTTGGGCAGCAGTAGTGGTGGGTGGAAGTGACGGACACGTAAACAAGTCATGGGCACACAGACACACGCTTGCACACGCTCACACGCACACACTTGCACACTTACACACACACACACACACACACACACACACAACTCACCTGTAGCTGATGAAGACGTCGTACTTGTCCTGGAGGCCGAGAACGGGCAGAAGAGGGCCATATTTGGCGACCAGGTCATCGGGTGACAGCAGCTGCTCGTCCACCCACATGTCCTGCTTGCTCTTGTGGTGGTGCAGCACGTCCTCAAAGAACAACAGTGTCTTGTCGTCAAATGGCACCAGCAGGCTGCTCTTCAGCTCAGGATAGCGCTCTCTGGCGGCCTCGCTAATCATCTTGTGCAGCATATGCAGCATGGCGCGTGGCTGCGCACTCGTGATCTTCATCTTGATGCCGCCAACAGCCGGCACAAGCTGCAACTCAAGCTTGGTCGACTCCATGAAGCAGATGGCGTGGGTGCGACTCAGCTTGGGTTTTTGCGATGCGCCGTGCTGGGCGTGCGCCATCACATGCGCTAACACAACCGTAAACAGCCCCTCTGGCAGGAAAGACGCATGCTGTGCATGCTCAGCTCTCACGCTCGCTTCTGTCTTGAACTCCTTCAGGCTGAAGGCGACGTAGGCCGTCTTCTCCTCGTGTCCAAGATATGGATTGACCTGCTGTGCTGCTGTCGTGCTCAGAGTGACAGATTCCATCGTGCTGCTGCTGTGGCGGATCGTCATCGGCAGGATGGCTGGGACCAGGTATTGCTGCTGCTGGTGCTGCTGGCGTTGGTGTGCGTCATTGCCCTTGCTCACACCATCGTTGTCACCGTGGCCGGAGTTGGCGTGGGCGAGCGCTCTGCGGCTATCCACCAGCTTGGGTGGAGAGTATTGAATGCACAGCCCATATTGCATCATGAGGCGCAGGAACGGGTCAACCAAGTTGCTGTCCACGTCTCTCCACAACACCTCCAGCAGACGACGGTGCAGGATGCCGCGGTCGACAAGGTCGTCCCACACGTCGGCGCCAAGTGCCCGCACCTCCGGCCCCTGCACATCGTCGTCGTGCAGGCCAAACGTGCGGATGACGCGCGTCATCGTGTCCACCGCCCACTGCGGGCTCAGGATCACATAGGCGTCCATGCCAGGCACGCTGTCGTAGTACAGCACCATTGAGTACAGGTGCAGGAACTGGAGGCAGGCTCTCGTCTCCTGGCGTGTGCGCAGCCCACACGTGCGCGCAATCGCCACCACCTCATCAAACGTGAGCAGCGGTCGCTTCTCGTCGCGGGCGATGGCGTTGAGCTTGTCGTAGAGGTGGAGGTACGGCACAGCCACCTCCTGGCTCACGTACTCCTGCGCCAGCGCGGTGGAGGAGATGGTCTGGCGCAGGTCCTGGATCATGGGGTCGCCGATGGACTTGGTGTTGTCGACGGGCCAGAACCACAGCTTGTGCTTGCTGTTGTACACAACAGAAGCGAAGGCCGGGTTGTGGCGCAGGCGGCTGTGGATGTCACGCGAGATCTGCTCATGTTGCTTCCGCTGACTGACCACATCAGCGAAGGTGCCGACGATGAGGACGGGCGCGCCTTTTGCATGGAGGTGGAGGGAGGAGAGCCAGTGCTCCATAAACTCCCACGCCTCGGTCCGCTTGCTCTCGTCTTGGTGCAGCAGGTCCTCCATGGAGAACACCAGCAGGTACACTGCGTACCTGTTGTGGGGAGGTTGGGAGGTAAAGGGTGGGGATGTGAGAAGGGTGGTGGTGGGGGGGGGGGGTGACAGCACGTAGCCCACAGCGCGCACACACACACACACACACACACACACACACACACGCACACACACACACACACACACACACACACACACACACACACACACACACACGCAAGCACGCATGCACCCCCCACCCCGGTGGCTCCGCACAAAAAACACAAGAGTGCTCCCTTTTGTGTGGGGGAAAAAGGGG